AACAGGTAAAAGGGGGGTAGCAGGACTGGTGGATTGGCTTAAGACTTTGAAGAAGGAAGCACAAGAAAAAGAGCCAGTGGGGGGTAGGGGTCCAAATTCTAGAGTCCACCTTAGTGGGGTCTAAGAAAACATTATCAAGAAGTACGAGGAGGCTCGAAATACTGTCAAGGTTTGAGTCCCTCACAACCCTTCTCAGACCCAGGTTCCACCCAAGCCAAGAACTGGAAGAGGAAGGGGTGATGAAAGAAGAAACTGGCTCATTTTTAAAATCAGAAAGAGCATACAAAGAAGGAAACTAGTCCTTTAGAGGAGCATTCCCCACCCAAGTACTTTTTTTTCTTTGATAAGTGAGAATTATAATGAATTTGTTCAGAAATACAGAACAAGCATGGAACTCAAACTCTGAGATCAGAGGAAAAGAAAATGAACAACCGAAAATTGAAGCATAATAAATTTAAACAGAAGGAAAAAGGCATTATCTTTAGGAAAAACATTCAATTCTTAATTATTTTATGCATAAATAAAATGTGGAGAAAATAATAGTGCTGAAAGTGAAAACAATGCTTCTTTTTATTTATTTATTTACTTATTTATTTATTTTTTCAATGACAACAACCAATTTGCATCATTCCGACTTTTTTACACATGTATAGGAGATCAATGTACTAGTCTAGGAGTACCAGGACATACTAAACATTTTTTTATAAGGGGCAAACCACTTAAAGCTGAAAACTCTATAAAATATACTATGGATTAATGGTATCTTTATCTTTTCTTTTCATGTGTTGGCCTATTATAATAAGACATAGAGTCATGCACCCTTTGCAGGGTCACAGAATGGACATCCTTTTTCAAAAACTTGAGACTTGAGATTCTGATCTTTTTCATTTTTTCTTTTTTTATAATAAATAAAAGGGGAAATCTCACTGAAACCCACCCAATAAGTTTTTACTTCACCATATACTCACAACAATTTAAAACTTCCAACACCCCCACTTATGACACCATACCCCCCTGATTGGCATCAACTCCCTCACTATCATTGTTCCCAATTGTATGGTGAAGTAAAAATTTGTGAGGTGGGGGTAAATGAAGATTCCCCTAAATAAAAAAGAAAAAATTTATTAAAAAAAAGAATAGGTACATCACAGGGGTGATAAGGGATCACCAGCCATACAATCAAACATAAGAGAGAAAAAATAGATAATAAAAAACATCAAAAGTACAATAGATTAACCCATTGGGAAATTTTCAAATAAAGAACAAAGTCCATTTCCAAGTGCTTCCTTTGAGACCCCCTCAAATTCTGGTAAAATTAGAATCCTTTTTTTTTATGGATTAAATGTGTTTAACAAGATTTGAACCTCCGACCTCTTATTTTCATATATTGCTTAATTGCGACTAATCCACCTCTTAACTTGTAAACTTAGAATCCATTCCATACTTCTTTTTACACAAATCAAGGCAACTTGGTCCCTTCTTCAAGATTTGTATTCAAAGATTTTTCTATCTCTCCTTCCAAATTTCCCAACAAATGGCAAAAGGAACATGGCTCCATGCTATCTTTGCCTTAATGTAGGTCAATGAGCAAAGACTTCTCCAAGGGATCTTGGCTTCCAAATGTCCATGTTAAAGAGGCCGAAAAAGAAACCCCAAATCTGATCTTCCTAGATTGTAGAGATGAAATTGCTTTCCAAAGAAAATTCTGTCATCTTTCTACATTCATTGCATTGGCTAGGGTTATGTTGGAGAAGGTCGATTCAGGTTGCATTTGGGGGATTCATGTGCCCCCTAGAGTGGAAGCTTTCAAGTGGCCATTGTTCTCAACAAGGTGTTAAAAATTGATCATCTAAACAATAGTGATTTGCTGATTCAAACCTGCTGCACTATGTGTATAGCAGCTGAAGAATCAGTTAACAATTTCTCTTGTCCATTGACCTCTTTTGTATCAGAGCTTGTTAGCTTTTTATTTTGGGATTCTTGGGTGTGCTTAGCTTCTATAAAGCAAGTGATTCAGGCATGTCCTTCAGTTGCTATTGGTAGCAAGGTCAATGTGCTTTGAACTCCATTCACAATTTGGTGGCCTATTTGGAAGGAATTAATTAAAGAATTTTTATGCAAAGAAAAACCCAATAATTTGAAAGTGTGTGGATGTTAGAAACTTCATTATGGCTTGGGCTCTTGTTCGTAAGAAGCTCAAGAATTTCAGACATAAAGATTTTGTCTACAACTGGTGAGATTTTCCAGGTATAGAAGGCAGTGTACTATAAAGATATCACTGCTTCAGGCCTTTTGTAAGTCTTTCCTTATAATTTCATATTATTTTTTTCATTACGTATCCAAAAAATCCATACACCCTATGAGTTTTTTTCTTTTATTTTCTTATAGAGCATATTTGTTGTCTAAGTAATCTTTTGGTTAAGTAACCTATTTTTTTTATACTAAAAGCAAATTTTTATTAAAAGAAAAAGAAAATACAAGAGGAAGGTGATAACAAATCACCCAAGAGAAAAATGAGCCTCCAACATAAAAAATAACTCGCTCACCGCCAACAAAACCCCAACCCAAACTAAACAAGAAGAACAGATGGATGAACTTCCAAAAACCAAAAGAGCAAAGGCACGCTACAAGAAACTTCGTCTTAAGCCAAACTATTCCTCCCCATCAAGCTTCTCTTCCTAGTCATCACCCTCATCCCATCTCTCTCCTCCTTCACCTGAAGAGGTCTTCCTTCAGTTCTCCTCCCTATGTCTGCTTTCAAATTCTTTAAAGGCACATCTAGAAAAAGCTTCTCCACCTAAAAAAATAATCCCAACACCTTACCAACCTCCACATCCCTATCCACAAGACTTTTAGCACCCATATTTCCACTAAAGTCCTCCTCCACCATAGCCATTGGCTTGTCACCTATTCCCAAGAGAACACAATCACCCACCTTCTCTCTTTGTTCTTCCCCCAAGGAATCAAACTTCTCCAACACCCCTTCATTGCCATAGGCTCCTTTAGGCTATTGGCACAATCCTCACCATGAATCTTCTTACTTGTTTTCTTTTTTTTTTTTTTTTTGATCAGCAACATAGAAATTTTGTTAAGATTTAAAAAGACGGATTACAACAAGAGGTTGTTAAAACTAGAACCCAATACAAAAAGAATCTCATCACCTTGTTAAAAATGGGCCCAATACAAATAATGTTTGTGTACTCCTTGCTTAGCAAGTCCATCTGCTAAACCATTTGCAGACCTTCTAACCCAACTTGCCTGAATACACACATGCCTTCACCCCTCTTCTCCTATATACTCGTGTATACTTGTTGCTAGGCCCAATTTCAACAAGCCTCGCTTTCAGGCACAAAAAGATCTTCACAACATGCACAAGATGACAAGATGAGATTTACTTGTACCTTTATTTCTCTTCACAACACGAACCCCTCACCGGAGACAATAGGACCTTGCGACTCCCTCTTTCTGCCCAAATTATCTCCAATTCTTCCTACTACCACTTCCTTAGCTGAAAAATTTTCACTAGTACACTGGGGACTCGAATAGTCCTTTGTCTCAACTAGAAAACCGAGCACCTGATTACCAACCGAAGCTTCTCCAATTTCTGGTATCATAGTGTCATGAGGATCCAGACTAGAACCAAGATTGGAAAATCGAAAACTCCCCATAGGATCAGCAGAAGATCAATCAACTCTTGAATCATCTTCAACTGGAACTTGTCGATCAAC